ACCTGGACACACTGCTGGCTCATGTTCAGCTTCCTGTCAATCCAAACTCCCAGGTCCCTTTCTACCTGGCTGCTCTCCAGCCACTCTGTGCCCAGCCTGTAGCTCTGCGTGGGGTTGCTGCGGCCGAAGTGTAGGACCCGGCACTTGGCCTTGTTGAACCTCATCCTGTTGGAATCAGCCCAACTCTCCAGCCTGTCCAAGTCCCTCTGCAGAGCCCTCCTGCCTTCCAGCTGATCAACACTCCCCCTCAACTTAGTGTCATCTGCAAATTTGCTAATGGTGGACTCAATTCCCTCATCTAAATCATCAATAAAGATATTAAACAGAACTGGGCCCAACACTGATCCTGTGCTCATGTGGCCACCTGCCCCTGACTGAGCAGCTGCTCCTTGATGTTGGTAATGGGGATGTACCCAGTTAACTCCAGAAGGTGACATGAAAGCAAGTGGACCTGCAGGAGATTCAACACCAGAAGCTCAGGCAGGCTAGCAAAGAAGCAAGATCAGCTGCACAAAAACTCCACTTGTTCATGGCAGCAGGCCTGGGGGAGTGGCACCAGGGCTGTGAGTCCTGTAAGCCATGGACTGGGGGAAGGTCTAGAACTGGGACTGCCTATCACCCACTGAAGCAGGTATAAAGGGAGATGCTTTGTTATCTTGGTACATATGTGGAAGTAGAGCCCCCAGAATTATGAAGTGAATGTATAAAGACCCGGATCTTATTTCTGACCACAGCTTGTCCTCTTCACTCCCTGAACCAACATGATAAAAATGTGTGATTACAGTGTTGAAGCATCAGTACTGGCCATTTTCAGCTTACTGGAGAGCTACTGGGGAGTTGGCAAGCTGGGCAGAAAAGAGTGGGTTTGGATTTTCTTCTAACTCTCCCTGCAGAGCTGAGAAGAAAAGTTCCCCACAGACCATCAGTCCCTGCTGCAGTCTCAGTGACTGTGATTCCCTATCAAGTGTCCAATGAACATTGTGTCAAACCTACAGAAAAACGCCTCTGCAGCAGCCTTGTGTGAGTGGCATTAGCTGTGGGATGCCACTGCAGGAACTGATGGGGTAATCGTTTAGTAGTGGACTTGACTCAAGCAGAAGAGATCCAAGTGCTCTCCACTGATCACATGAAATTCACACCTGAGAATGGGCATCTGCCCAACCTATATAACATAGTGTTAGGTCCAGGCTTGGCAGGTAATATAGACGTAATACCTGGAATTTCAGCTTCCTTTTGAAACTAGGTTTCATTTGGTCAGTCTTATTTTTGATGGTCCATCCGTAAAAGTGCTATTCCCATTATTATTTCTAACGGTATGTTTCTCATCACTACCAGTCCAAGCATTAGTTCTAACACAGTAGCACGAGCCCTGAATTTTTTCCATCATGCGCAGGCATTGAAATCATTCCGTAAATGCCTCACCAAATAGGACACAAGCTTCTCTGGGAACCTGTGCATTTTATGTAAGATGAGTATGTGATCATTTTGAACTCAAAGGCTATTTTTGTGATGTGGGGGAGAGAAAGTCAGTTAGAGCTGAGAGCCTGGATGATTTCAGAGGCGTGCTGAGCTTTACCAGCGGAGGTGAACTTTTCCCCTCTCTGGAGCTTGAGTCTTTCAGTGCAATTGCTGCTACATTTTCTGATGAAGTCAGCTTTGGGGAAATGTTTTTTATTATCCACTGAGGGAAGAGACACAGAAGATACCTACACACTAGAACATGTTCTTTTCCTGAAAAATTTAAACTGATCAGAGTGGGAAGCAGAGTCTTGAACACAGTATTATTATTCAATCTGTCGACATGAAACCTGCTCTTTCAGAATCAGCAGCACCTTCACAAATCTTGTAATAGGCAGCTGCTGCTTAAAATAATGTAACACAGACCAACAAGCCAGTTGAAGGCAGTAATGTAGATTGCCTACACATTCATGCTTTTCTTTTAAAATTACGAATTGATTACACTCCTCTCTGAGAAATATTCCTACCTATGGCAATACTCTGTTCAGCTATATCTGGGCGTACGCTTCCAAGTCAAATAAGCTAGTAAGTGCATACACATTTATGTTTCTCTTGGTAATCATGACCTTTTCATAGCATTCTGCAGGCAAATGCTCTAGCTGTCAGTGATATAATACAGATGCAAGCTTCTCTGTCAAATAAAACTGTGCACTAGACATGCAATCTCATTGCTCTTGAAAAGAAATCAACATGAAAATATTGTTATTTATACAGTAACTTTAATTAGCAGAAAAATTGCAACTGACTATAATCCCCAAGCAACTAAATGGCATGTATTTTGGACTTCTTATTTAATAAATTGGCTACTACAATCAATATGGTCTACATCATCTACATGAAAGCAGTGCTTTCTTCCCATTCATACAATAAGGCACATAATCTCTTCTTGCAGGCCAAGAAATCATTTGGCGAATGTACAAACAAATATAACAGCAGAGGCTCACAAAAAACATCTGAACAATTTCTATCAGTGATGTTTTTGATGGTATTTGTCACTTCATTTTAGATTTCATTAAGTGATAGGTATCACTGACCAATCAAAAGTTAAAGTTATCCATTCCAAGAATATTTCTCTGTTTATTACACTTGTTAGGAGATGACACAAAGTGTTTAGCAGTGCAGTTCATAGATGCAGGGGATTTCTAAGCCCAGAAGGGACTGCCAAGTGAGCCTGACCTCCTGTCTGTCTCCAGATTTTAAATTACTTCACATTGCTTCTGAGTACAACAACTTTTTTTTTTAAACTAAAATTTAACTTGCAGAAAAGCATTCAGACTTGAACAGGGGGACATTAGGAGGAAATTGTGGAAAATCCATCCTTTCCAATTTTTTTCCCAGTGGTTATTTGTTCTCGCTGATAAGAATCTGTGCTTTATTTCCAGTGTGAATTAATTTGGCTTCATCTCCCAACCACAGTTCTCATTACACTTTTCCCTATGAAAATGAACTACCCTTTCAAAGTGGGTATTTTCTTTCATTAACATCCTTGTAAATTAGTTCTTTCTCTTCTTCTTTTAAATCAGGCTGATCTCTTTAAGTCTTCCAATATAAGGAATTTTCTCTGGCCCTTCAATATTTTCATGTCTTCTTCAGTTTTCCAGAAGCCTTCTAAAAAACTTGAGTATGGTGATGATACACAGTATTGTGGTTTTGGTGCCCATACTCAATGGCTGACTTCAGTTAGTTTTGTTCACCATCAATTATGGTATTTGTTTACTGGGACCTATTCCGGGTCACCCACTCCAGACTAGGATACCTTCTCTCTGCAAAGATTTGGTCTCCATTCCTTATTCAGAAGTGTACAACATACAATTTACCTGTATTGAAGGGTATTTAGATAGAATGAGCACAGAATCTGTCTTGCATAACTGTCCAGCCCACACAATTATTTACTTTTTGGTTACCAAATATCTTATTAGCAATGATTTTATGCTTCCAGATCACCAGTGGAGATACCAAAAAGTGCCAGGCTCAGCACTTGGCCTGACAGAGCCTGTGATAAAGCCATCCTGATTCGATAATGGCTGTCACTATGATATGTTGGTTTCTCATCAGCTTAGTGTTCATTTTGTTGATATTTTCTAGCACAACCATGAGAGCATTGCGTAACACTAGATCTAATAACTTGCCAAAGTTGAAGGGTATTATTAATAATGATTGCCTTTACTGACAGAAGATACAATGAAAAATACAGTGGAGTTGTTGGAAAAGAACTGCTCTTTACCCACATGTAGTTATGAACTTGCTGAATAAACCTTGATCTGATCCAGAAATTTAAAATTTAACATCCCCTCTCTCTGTAGGGAGAGTAACTGTTCAGTGTGTGTCTTGGGGGTGTGGTCCCAGCCAAGAGCTCATGGCCAGCAGCAGCTCCCAGAACCTGCTGAGTGCTCAGCTTCAGCCTCCATGGCCCATCCCAGAGCAGCTGCATCCCCCATCATGCTCCTGCTTGCTTGTCTCATTCCACTTCATCAGGTTGCAAAGACGATGCCACTGGGGAGGAGGCTTTTTATTTACATTCATTTCAGTTTAAGAAGCAGGGGTTTTGGCCAGATTTGTGTTGTCCCCTGAGTGCCTGTTTAGGCCCAGCATGGTACATTCTCATCTGCAGTTGCCTTTTGTGAAAGTCAATATGAGTGTCCCCTGTGAAATACCCTCTACTTCCCAAAGAGACAGGGGGACTTAGGCAGGTTGTGGTAGCCCTCCACATGACCTTCTCCATTCCTCTACAATCACAGAATCACTGAATGGATGGGGTTGAAAGAGATCTCTGGAGAACACCTAGTCCAACCTCCCTTCTAAAGCAGGTTCACCTGAAGCAGGCTGCACAGGATTGCCTCCAGATGGGTTTTGAATATCTTCAGAGAAGGCAACTCCACAATCTCTCTGGGCAGCCTGTTCCCCAAGCTCTCTATCACCCTTGCAGTAATGACATTTTGCCTCATATTTAGATGGAACATCCTGTGTTTCAGGTTGTGCCCATTGCCCCTTATCTTGTTGCTGGGCATCACTGAAAAGAGTCTGTTCCCATTCTCTTAATACCCACCTTTAAAATATTTGTATGCATTGATAAGATCCTGTGGTGAGTTGACCTTGGCTGGATGCCAGGTGCCCACTCAGCCACTCTATCACTCCCCTTCCCAGCCAGACAGGGGAGAGAGTAAGGTGGAAAAACAACTTGTGGGTTGGAATAAGGCAGTTTATTTAAAGTGAAAGCAAAGCAGAAGCTTGCACGTGCAAAAGCGAAGCAAAAGATAGCAAGGTTTATTCTCTAGTTCCCATGAGCAGCGATGGTCGGCCACTCCCGAGCAGCAGGGCTTCAGCACACCTAACGGTTCCTCAGCAGGCAGCCACTGGAGACAATGAATGCCTGCCTTCCTGCTCCTTGCCTTAGCTTTTACATCTGAGCTGACATCATAGGGTATGGAATATCCCCTTCGTCAGTTTGGGTCAGCTGGCCTACTTGGGTCCTCTCCCAGGATCTTGCCCTCGACTGAGGAAGGAATGTTACAGTGCTCATGCTGTGCTCAGAGGTAGCCAAAACACTGGTGTGTTATCGACACCCTTCTAGCTGCACAGCACTGTCAGGGCTGCTCTGGGGAAATGAACTCCAGCTCAGCCAGACGCAATACAGATCCCTTCCCAGTCATCTCTACTCCAGACTAATCAGGCCTAGCTCCCTCAGCCTCTCCTCACAAAAGAGATGCTCCAGTCCTCTCGTCATCTTCACAGCCCTTCACTGGACCTGCTCCAGTAGTTCCTTGTTTTTCTTGAACCGGAGAGTTCAGAACTGAACACAGTACTCCAGATGTGGCCTCACCAGGGCAGATAAGCAGGATCACCTCCCTTGACCTGCTGGCCACACTCTTCCTATCACCCCAGGGTGGCCACCAGGGCACACTGCTGGTTCATGGACAGCTTGCTGTCCACGAGGACCCCCAGGTTCTTCTCTTCAGAGCTGCTTCCCAGTAGGTCAGCCCCCAGCCTGTACTGGTGTATGGGTTATTCTTTCACATCTACTATCTCTCCCCAGGTGCAAGACCCTGCACTTGCCTTTGATGAACTTCAAAATGTTCTACTCTGCCCATCTCTCCAACTGTCCAGGTCTTGCTGAAACAGCAGCACAACACTCTGGAGTATCAGCCACTCCTCCCAGTTTTGTAACACTAGCAAACTTGCTGAGGGTACACTCTGTTCCTTCATCCAGGTCATTGGTGAATCAGTTGAACAGACTGGATCCAGTACTGACCCCAGGGAACACCATGAGCTACAGGCCTCCAACCAGACTCTGTGCTGCTGATTGCAACCCTCTGAGCTCTGCAGTTCATCCACCTCGCTTCCTGCTCATCTAACCCACACTTCCTGAGCCTGCCTAAGAGGATGTTATTAGAGACAGTGCCAAAAGCCTTGCTGAAGTCGGGGTAGACAACATCCACTGCTCTCCCCTCATCTTCTCAGCCAGTCATGCCATCGTTAGGTGGCTATCAGCTACATAAGCCACTTTTAGGTTAACTTCAGAGTGCTGGAGCAGTTCTGATAGCACCAGTGGGGCTGGAATTTGCTGTGTAGCACTTGGCTGGTGAGCGCAACAAACTTTTGAGTGGCTAAAAAATATTTGGATGTGGGTTACGAACCATGTGAGGATTCTTTTCTTCTCTTTGAAACTTCTCACCAATATCTGATGGTTTCTCCTTGATGGTAGGGCTCTAATCTTTTCCTTTGTAACTGAAGAAGCTTTTTGCTAGTCTGTGGGTTTCTGAAGAAGTGTCACCCTTTATTGCTCATGTGCAGCGATGATATTAAAAATAAACCAGCCAGTTGTCATAGATCAGAAACATGTATATGAATTAGAAACAGACAGTAAGCAATATCTGGGAAAATCCAAATCATCAAAAGCTTGTAGTCTAGTTCAGTTAGGTCACAGGTGAAGCTTTTCGAAAAGGGGATCAATAAATGGGTTGTATGAACTGTGAGTGTATTTCTAGTGAAGCAAATTTTAACTTGATTTAATCTTTTTCCTCTCGAATCTACAGCTGGAGTGAGCCCTGCCACACTGAGTTACTGTGGGAAAGGCAGGAAGGAAATTGAGTAGAAATGCGCAATAAACAGAAATGAAACTAACTTGATTATTCTAAGTCCTGGGCCTGAACATAAAATGGATGCCATTAAAATATGGAAATTTTACACCACAATCATTTCTCTTTCTCTTGGAAAAGTCTGGGGAATTCAAAGAATTCCCCCCTCACAGAAAGTTCAAAAGTAATGTTGCTGACAGCGAATATTCAGCATTGAATTCTGTCTTCTGTAGAGGATGTGATACCATCACATATCATCTCTTCTGAGAACTCAGTTCTGTGCAGAAGAACTCTGGTACTGAGAGCTTTTCTTCAACTGGGAATGGGATGTGAGGATGGTGGGAGAGGCTTGGTGGGGTTATGACAGGATTTTACCTGATGTTAATATGTTAATGGGTCTTAGTGGCTTATCTGCTCAAATAAGTTGTGCACCCATGAAGAAAAGGTTTGTTTTCCTCACCCATATGACAGCCAAGGGAATTTATATAATAACATAATAAACCCCTGGAATAAAGGGCAGCTGATGAGCAGGCTGTGATTCTGTGAATCCATATTCTGGATTAGTCGCAAAGTTACTCTCTGTCATGGAAAAACTCAACAAATGAGAGAATGCTGCCAACATTGATTTTAATACAAATCTCACCAAATATCGATTTTTTTCTTAGACCTGCAAAGAAAAGTATTTGAATGAGAACCTTATGCTTTATTTTAAAAAGCAAGGACAGTAGAGGAAGGACTCAGAATGTGAAGCACATACATCCTAATGTCTCAGAAGACAGAGAAATACAACAACAGTGAAGGCCTTGATTGATCTGTTAAAAATCTCCTACTTAAGCTAATTTCAGGATTTCTGGTTTTTTTGGTGTATCTTCTGAGTGACAGCTTTGGGCAATTCAGATGCTGCGGCAAGAATCCAAATGGCAAGCAACACGGGAGCCTGAGTTAGTGAACTACATCGTCATGGGCATTCCTACCAGCCCAGGTAAGAGAGCTGTCTGACTGTGTCTGCACACTGTTTTTGAGCAAGCATCTGTGTTTATGGACACTCAGGGAGCAGCTCCATGCCAGCTGGGTGCAGGCCAGAGTGCAGCTGCTTCAGCTGTGGCCCTGGCTGGAGCCAAACCCAGCTCCTCTTTGTGCTGGCCCTGGTGCATGAGTGGTGTGTAGGGGGCTCACGTAAGACCTTGGGGCTTGAAAAGAGTGGGAAAAGTTTGAAGTTACACAGTCTCTTGCATGTAAAAAGCAAGAGACTCCTTGCCAGCCGGCCTCACTCTGTGAGCTGCTCCTGAAAGATGGGCTTGGGCAGAGGCCAGCAGCCCCCTTCACCAGCAGTGGGCTATGAGTTGTAGGTCTGGCCTGAGGGAAACATGAGTTGCTTGATACACAACTAGTGGCTATAGTCAGTCTCCCTGTGACACCTGGTGGTGGTCCTGCCTGCCTCACAAGGATGTTGTTATACCTCCATGGCCCCGGGGCTGCACAGTGCTGCGGGAGCCAGAGAGGACACTTGCCAGTGACGGGGGAAATGGGGTTGCTGGGTGAGTGTTCTCCCTTTTCCACTCAGGAGACACAGAGACACCAACTGTGGGATGCCTCTTCAGGCATGAAATATGGTGAGGATAAGGGATGGCTACAAACAGGCCATAGCCAGTTTGGGTAAGGAAATTAACTCACAGCTAGTAATAATATCAAAAGGACAGTAGAAAAATTACAGCTGTGAGCCTGGAATACAAAACAAACACAAAATAAACCATAAGAGTCCCCAGAGAGAACTGCAGAGGTGCCTCCACCCTTTTAGGTTGTCAGCAAATATCTCAATGGCAAAGTGAGTGGAAGGCATTGAAATGCACTCAAACTTCTGCATGCCTCCAGGCCCATAATGTATGCACCTCATAACTCCAGAAATGCGGGCACCAGCTCAATGGGCAGACAACATTTTTTAACCTCTTTCTATATCTTTTGTTTTTTCAATAGGAGAAAAGACACAATTGGACTAATGTATTACTAGGGTTCATTAATATGTCTCCTCAAATGGCAAGATGAATGACAAACTCATTCTCAGTCATTTTCCAAGTCAAGGAATAGATTTAAAATTTTCTTTTCACAAACAAAATTAATGGGGCCAAAATTTTTCTGTTGTTGCTGGCAAGTCTCTTCCAGTGAAAATAGGTATCCTTCACATATCGAAATCCCACACAGAGCCAGAGCCTGTAAGCAGTGCCTTGCATTTCTAAGTCCTTTTGAGCGTGGGCCGTGATCACGAAATCTGTAACATAAGAACCGTGTTCTGAATCACAGCACAGGGAATAATTGGCGGAGACTAACTTGCCTAGTGAACACTACTGGCCTTCCAAGTAGACTTGCCCCAGCATTCCTAAATGAGTTCAATGTGAGCTGCTCATGCACAGAGGTCTGCATCGTTCTACCTTTGCTAACTCGGTTGGAAGCAATTAATGATGTTAGCATTTGATGCTCAAAATTCAGGCTGCAGAGGTCTCAGGAGTTGCTTTCCTCCCTCGGAACAAATGGTTTGTGTTGCTTTGGAACCCAGTTACAGGAAGCATTCAAGCATGTGCTGATCGATGGACAGAGCTGAAAGCAGGCTCCCAGGATAGAAGTGTGCAAAATTCGTTGGTTTTCCCTTGTAGCATTTGCAGATGCTGTCCTGTTGTGGTCCACAAACCTGCAAATACACTCATTGGCCAAATTCAGTGCTCCAGGCAACTTCCTTACCAAATTTGCCAAAGATTCATGTTCCAAAAATCTCATATATCAGTTCTGAAAAAAGGATGTTTATAGTCCTCATTACTGTGGAATAATGTGAAAAATGTATAAAACATGTTAGTGCTGTCCTTAAGTCTTTGTTTTTGACAAGTGGAGCTCATTCAATACTCTAAAATGCTCAGAAGGTCACGGTTAATTCCTGTCTTCCAGCTCAAACAAGCTTTGAATAAAAATCTGCGTGTCTTGGACTACATCTCCACTGTCTTTTAACGGCAGTCTCAGGACCCCCATCGAGAAGGGCTGTGCCAGCCACCCTTGCTCCTACTCTCTTTGACATGATCAGTGGTACAACACACACATATGCTCCAGGGGATGTTGGAATACATGTCCAAACACAGCCGCATGATGACTTGCCAACAGAAGCGACCGGCCAGTGGTCACTACAGCAGCCAAGTAATCTGAAGATGCGTGGGCTGCTCAGTCCATCACCCTCTAGAGCCATGTAGACATAGACTGGGAGATTAAATGCCAAAATCATGGGGAAGACAGATGAGTATTTGAGCACATATTCTACTGAGAATGGAGGAAAGCACTTAAGAAAAGCAGCAGTCAGGCAAAGCACTTAGCATACACTTAACTTTAAGCCTGTAAGCAATTAATTTTTGAGTATTCATAACTATAAGGAATCAAAAGAAGAGAAGCTGTCCTCTGTTACATTGGTGAACAGATTCATACGCAGTATAGTCTTCCGAGGATGGCCATATATTTTCCTTCCTTATTGTGTAAAGTGAGACCTTCCAAAGCTTTAAAAATGTCCTGTTAATAATTATTCAATTGATTAGTAGCTGCTGAGAAGGAAAGTAAAGTGATGATTGGATCTCTATTCCTATTCAAAACACTCCAGGTAAACAGCCGCTCTCCTTCCCCAGGGCTGCCTTGTAATACTGCATACTAGAATCTGTGAATATGAAATACTGAGACTCCAGTGCTGTGCAGTGTACAATCCATCCTTGTATCTCTATGCTGTATGAGTCACAGTGCATTTAGAGATCTCCTTCCATCTAAGTGTGATCTATTTACAAGCATGCGTAGGTTTTCAGAGTTTCACAATAGCTGGCAGAAGTACATGATTTATCTAGAAGTGAGCCATGTGAGTGTAGCTTTTTTTTTTTTTTTAAATAGAGTGTCTGACTCTAAATTCAAAATAAAATTTTGATCCTGCTGTATCTGCGGTGCTCTGTTTTCAAGAAACTTTCTTCCGACAGGCTTTTGACATTCAACAATGAGTATTTTAATGCAGAATGAATTTGATCCTTGTGTTTCTTGTAGAATCCAGTATCTCCATGTACTGTGCATATTTCAGAAGTCAAGGATATAAAGGCAAATAAAAGCCACTGGATTGTGCCTAACACAAAGCTGGTACAGAATATAACTTTTACAAGCCTTACAAGATTAATTTAGACTCAGAAATCTTTATTATCCTCATTCCTTTGTGGAAAGTAATAACTGAAACCACAAACTACCATCAGAAGAACCACCCAAACAGCGAGTTGGTCCCTGACAGATCTTTTATATTAGACAACTGGGGCTAAATTCCATTTGTGTTTCTGTGCTTGATGTTCCTATTGCCTAGCTCCAGGCAGCTGCCTGCTTACTGCCTTATTTAGGTCCTATGAATCACTCTCTGAGGCTCCCCCATTGCCATAAGGAGGTAGGTGAAATTTAGCTTTTTCTACACCTACTCAAAAGACAAGGCTGGTTTCAGTGCAGCTGTGCATGAGTGTGGGGCTAGGCCCACACAGCTGCTGGCTCTCTCTTCACTGACCTGGTTGCACATACCCTTTCTTGCAGGTTCTCCATCTGTGTGTCAGAGCAGCAATGTTCTCTTAGATAACAGCAGCAGGCAAAGGCCTCTTTTGTCGCCTTTTCATCCTGAATTGTATCAGATTGTGTAAAGCAATGAGCTAAATGAGGAATATGGAAATTCCAGGGGCATATGGAAATAAAAGGGATGTGTGTTGCTTTGTGAAACATTCTGAGATGTATTGTTGAAGCATGCTACATACAAGTTAGGTGTTATTATTATTATTAATGACTGGTAATTCAGCCAGAAAACAAATTCAACAAATGTACAAGTGGCAGAAAAGTGGAGCTCTAACTTTTGAAGGCTTCAAGGATCACATTTACAGTTGCAAGTAGTTGCCCTAGAATATACGTGTCCTATAGATTGAGTTAGCATTAAATCACAGAATATTCTGAGTTGGAAGGGACCCACAAGGATCATAGTGTCCAACTCTTAAGTGAATGGCTCAAACAGGTATCGAACCCACAACCTTGGTGTTATTAGCACCATGCTCTAACCAGCTGAGCTAATCTCAAGAATAACAAAAAAAAGAACTGGAACGGAGTGTCCCCAGTCCTCTTTATGAGCAGTAGTGGACAAGCTGTATGATATGACTCAGATATAGTCACTGATTATTCACACCAGATACCTGGACACAGTGGGTTCTGCCTAGACCCCATTTCTGGATGGATTTCTGGGGTGTAGAAGGGTACAGGAATCATTTGTAGGCAGCTCTTGCCCAGGTACAGAACGAGGACACAGCTTGGTTGTGTCCCTGGTCCAAGATGCTCAAAGTCTGGGAGTTCACACACAACCTGTGTAATTTTTTTTTTTTTGTTTTTACCAAAAGAAGCAATTTCTACCCCGAGGTACATGTTCACACCTCACCCTTTGGAGTTTGTTTCTGTGTATCTTATAGCAGAATTTAAACGTAGCCCAGATCTCTCAAATGAGAAACCATGAAGAATCCCTCTCATGAGGCAGAAATGCCAAAATCCCATGAAACAGCTCTGAGAAAGTCTCCTGCAGCCAACTGTGCAGATAGTCTCTCTGTGGTTTCAGGCAAGGAAGAGCTGAGCAGTTCTCACCCTGTTGAAGTAAATAGCAAATACCTCAATGACTAAGTGCAGCCAAGATTTCACCCAGGAATTTAAGTGCTGCAGTGCTACATAGCTTCCATTCCTGACGACTGGGAAACACAGACAACGGCTTGTTTGGCATATTTAAAAATATACTGTTGAAAGGGAATATAAAAGTCTCGCTGAGATCCTTCAGTCATGTTCCTTATTTGTGCTATAAAACTGGACATAGAAAAGCAGGAGGATTTGTTTCTAAAGGTTAATGCTCTTTCTTTCATACTCGACAATAACACTATGCTCACTGCTTGGAGGAATCGGTCTGGGGAGTACCTCAGTCATATTTTGCCAGAAATAGGAAGGCTGATTTCACTGCTGCTGTTGGAATTGCTCTCTCCCTGCACATTGTTGAATCATTGTGTTGATGAGGGCATATTTTTGGGGATTTTGTCCAGAAATGCCTTTTGCTTTTTGGGAAGGATCACCTGTGCCACATGACAAGTATTTACAGCTGGGTGGAAAGTCATCCTGGACCTCCATTCAGGTTCTCTTTGCAAACTCCATTTCTAGCTCATCCACTTGTGCACTTCATCAGGAACACAAAACTGTTCAATATTTGTTTCTCTGACATTTTTCAGAGAATTTCTGTAAAAGTTCCTGAAACTGAAAATGTTTCTCAGACAGGACAGAGCTTACCTGCACACAGACCTTTAAAGTTGCTAACGGCATTACCTCCTCAGAGTTGTGAAGAAGTGCTTTGCTTAGAGCGAGATGAAGGGAAATTTCCTCTCCATCTCATGAGCCCGTATGACTGCGGAATGAAATTTAGCCACAAGAGTTAAGAAAGAATTTGCTGGGGTTGCCTTGTTCAGCTTAGGGCCTTGTCAGAAGATAACTCCATGGCTAAGGCTAAGGTATTGGGGTGACTGCAGCAAGACCATCACAATCAAGTGATGCTGAACAGAGGAAACAGAGGCAGGGCTGTGGTGTCCTGGGTCACGTTTATGCACTGCACTCACTCTTGGGGATATGCAACATACATCTGGTTTCTCTAGAGAAATGTATCCAAGTCAAACCTCCTCGGGTTCCAGATAAGTGAGAACATTGCTATATCTGAATCTTGAGCTAAACTTGATAACTTACCTTAAATATTTTCCTTTCTCACACCACTTTTAAAACAGATCTTACCAGGTAGACACATGCAGACGCATTTGTGATACCGGGGAGCGTTTAATGTTGGAGCAATTTATTTAGGCATGTGTTTATGTTGCTCAAGTCTGTATATGGACATGTTCAACAAAAAATTTGAGACGTGGTGCAGATATCAGCTCCTGAGATTTTTCTGTGTCACATAAGATCCATCTTCATGATTTTAAAATATTCTTCTATCCCTAACTCTGCATCAGTTGGCTCATACACACGTGGATCAAATGGGTTGGGGTCTGAGAGAGATAGAATCCTTTATATTTATGTGACTTAATTTTTTAATATATTTTTCCTTGTATATTATATACTTTTCTCTTCCATCTCTCTGTGCTCTCATTGCGCATTTTCTTTCATTTCCTTGATTCTGAGAATTTTTGTATGGAGATGAATATTTTCCATTTTTATGAATATTTTCAATTTTTTTATTCGGTAAGATTTACACCATTCTCACAAAAAAGCTCTAGTTCAAATCTATTCATTTCTATTCACATAGCTGAGCATGTCATTCATGTAAGATTCAAATGCAGCTCGTAAGAAGTTTGCATGTATACCAGGGAAGGGAATGGTTTCTTTTAGGTGGCCTCTTTAGTTTGGAATAGATTCCTCATTTTAGTACTGAGAGTCATTTTAACATGTGAGTTTTGTTGTGTCACTAGAGGTGATCCAAAACAAAGGAGTCTGACCTGAGAAAAATTTGTAAACTATTATCTTGGAACAAGTTGGCCTGAAAACTTTTTTTCTGCTTTTCCTACTTACATTCAGGAGGTGCAACAATCCCACTCTCCTGTCTTGCGGTGTAGGCAGAATCACTGTGGCTTGTCTCAGCCCTTCTAGGAGATGGCTTTGCAGCTGGGAATTGAGTAGCTCCACCTGAGGCTCTGTGGGGTGCCAGCATCCCTGCTCTGACATAGCGAGCCAAGACCTGCTCAGAGCCAGAGCTTGCAGGCTTCTCACCTTTTGGAGTCGTTGGGTCTCCAGACTCACAGTGTGCTGTCTGGCATCCTTCTCTCAGTCCTGCAGACCAGGGCTGGCTGCCAGAGTCACTCACACTGTGGCTACCTTGCCTACAAGCAAAAGTCCCAGCTGCCAAAAGCCTATGGCAGATCTGGATGTCTGGGCTGGC